GGATTGACCGTCACATTATAACGCCCCCACGGCTGAAAGGGGCGAGCGATGTTTGGTGAACCTGAAAATACTACAGTGTTAGCAGTACTCAGTTAGGAACTATGAACTAAATAAACTTGATGGAAACCTGTTCAAGAGCTAGTGGAAACATAGAAAAATTGTGTGATCTAATGATTGAACTATAATTGTTCATGAAGTATGAATAAACTTAAACGCAATTCATTTAAGAAGAAAAAAAAAGAGTTTGGTTTAATTTTTACGCAAAGCTACACGAGCGCTACCTGTACTAGCCATCCTTAATTTAGCAGTGATAGACTATAGAGAGGACAGCTAGTCAATAACGCCCACCGTCAACTCTTGGGCTACTCTTTTACCAACGAATAGTGGGATTGACAGTCACATTATAACGCTTCCACTGCTGAAAGGGCAAGCATATTCGGTGAGAGAGTAAAGACAAAAAAAGAAAATACTAATGTTCGCTATAATAGTCATAAGAGCCGAGTTCAAGGAAAGCTGAAGACCAAAGTAACCATCCAGAGATTAAACTGTGTGTGTGTGTGTGTGTGTGTGTGTATGAAAGAGACATAAAGAGAGGAACACGTCTAAAAATGTGTCTGTGACTTGAATTGTTTTTCAAAAGAAGTCATAATACTTAACGAAGACTTCCCAGTGCATCTCGTACCAGTTATTACATCTCAGAATTATTCCCAAAAGTCCGGTGCTACAAGCACAAATTGTTAAAGTGTGTTGACAAAATAGTAGTGCTGAAGTTAACTAGGAGGAAAGTTAAAATGCTCAGACGCAAAAATAAAAAGTTAAGAGTGGCGGTTCTCATGAAATTGCTTAATAACGAAGCAAAAAGTAAAATAACACCTCAGTATTCTATACAATAAACAGGCTTAGATATGTTATTTTCTGTGAAATTCAATTCAATAATGTGACAATATACTATATAAAAATTGTAAACGTAAAAGGAAACACAAAGAACGGGTTTAAGCTCTTTTTATTAATACCCGGATTGACTGAATCAGAATTCTTTCAGCAATTCTTTAAAAGGAAGTGAGAATCGCATCTGACTAATTGCGGAGTGAAGAGCAATAATTTATATCTTTGATCATCCAAGGTTACATACTTAAATACCTATCATGAATGTCGTCATCTGATTAATCTCAACTCACTCACATTCCAAACTAGTATCAAAAATGAAATCTCGTCTGACTAATCTTCATTCACCTTGTTCTTAATACACTGCAAAGATTAAAGGAAGTATTTAATCTGTCTAATCTTGGCTCATTCACATTCCAAACTAGTATCAAAAATGAAATCTCGTCTGACTAATCTTCATTCACCTTGTTCTTAATACACTGCAAAGATTAAAGGAAGTATTTAATCTGTCTAATCTTGGCTCATTCCGTTTTCAATACAACTGAAAAATGAAAAGAAGAATTTCATCTAAGTAGTAAGTGAAGAGCCACTGGATCGAGTTTTATACTGAAAAAGCTTAAAATTTGACTTACCTCTAAAAAAGTTTGTAAAATAAACACCTCGCTAGTGTTGTGGTTATTTCAGCCAGAAGTTTAAAGCGTTTTAAAAACACAATTCACGGAAGTTTAGATAACTTGGTTGGCCTATCAACCATAATATTTTCTTAAATAAGTAAAAGTATAATGAGAAAGACATGCCATAGAAATCTCTCCTTTAAAAATTAAATATATTTCGCTAAGGTTGCATAACTGGTAACATCGTTGTTTAACCATAAGCTCCAACGATGTTGGTTCATTATGATGGTACATAACGTTTTATGCTGGCAAATAGTGATCAGTTGATCTACTAGTAATGTGTGTGTGACTTTAAGTCACAATAAGATTGATAATTTATCATTATTTTTTTATGCAAGTCTTTTTTCACTAGTCATATATTATTAGTTTCTAATAAGAAAGAAGATAATAGCATCTCAACCACAAACCCTGTGCGCCGCTAGCCCCTCCTGACGAGGCTTTTCGCTCAGCTTATGAAGTCAACTGGGAATGTGATACAAAATGTCTTTGTGGAAACGTTTTCTATATCAATAATTTACAGTACTGAGCGAAAGGAAGTGGCACACGGCGCACAAGGTCTACGCAAGTTAATATGTTATTCTTATTTTTTCCTTACTTGAAACCTGTAGTATAGGGCCAGTAAAGAAAGATTTGTAAAAATAAATGAATAAATATCAATTAACAATCGGCAGTTGATGCATTATCTTATTTTCAATTATTTTAGAAATGTAGCATTTATTTTGCATGGCTGAAGAGTAAACGAGCCAACTAGTTATATTTTTACTTCAAACAAATCCAAAAATAAATAATTGTGAAACTAGGATTAAACAAAAAGTCTGATATAAATCCGTTTATGCTTGAGAGAATTTTCTATTTCTATACTACATTGACTTATTTTAATGATGTCAGAGAACCTGTAATATTGTTCGTTTTAAAAATACGAATTTTCTGAAAATGCTAGCTTAAAAATCGTAGGTTAAACGTCCTTTTCTGTAACCTACATAATTACACCAAATTTTCAGAACGAAACAGAACGACTTAAACTCTGGAAAAAATACATTACCGCTAAAAGTTGGAAAACGCATTACAGGGATTATATATATATATATATATAACCAAAACATGAACAAGGTTCAACTGTGGATATGAATAAGAAAACACTGGAATATCCTTTTCTTTTAGTTAATTTATTATACTGATTTCTGACTTCAGAGGTCACTCTTCAGGAAATATTTTTTACTGAGACTTACAGAAAATAACATATAAATGAAATATAAAAGGGAATAATAACATATAAATGAAATATAAAAGGGAATAATAACATATAAATGAAATATAAAAGGGAATAATAACATATAAATGAAATCTTAAACTGGCCATTGTACCCGATAAAGTATTGTGGAGTTAACTGGAAACTATTCTACAGAAAAAATTTGGTTATTAATGTTTACGAGAATAAAATATAGCATTCACTATTTTCATCAGCATCTCTTTCACTGGTTACTTCCTTTCCTCGATAATATACCAAAGCACCATATTAGGTCCAAATGTAGCCAAAAGGTTGGTCGTGAATGCAGTTGGCCATCTTTCATCTGCCATCAGTTCAAAATTATGGAAATCTATGCGCAGCCAACTCTTCTGTGGCTTTACACGAAAATATGAGACAAACATTATAAAATATGGTGGCAATAGAAACAAAATTATATTTCATTCTTATTGGTGAACATCACATTTAGCATCAAACAAAACAAATGGCTAAAGTACATGTTTGTGCTGCCATCTGGCGAGCGTTGATAAAACCTCATAGCGATACTTAAAAAAAAATGAAGATACTGCGCTGAACAGCAACAATATATATATTAAAAACTTTCAGGTTGCCTGCATATTTTTAACATAAAAAAAAGCTGAAGAATATTTTTACCATTCATTTAAATTTCTTTCATTATTTCAAAAAATACTTATGTTATTTTTACTAATTACTGTGAATGTTATTTACTATTAGAATTTCTTAAAATATTAATGCAATTTAACAAAGTTTAACAAAAATTAGAAGCGAGGCAATGAAATAATAAAAGAATATTCAAAACTAGGAGGAAAATAACCAGAACCTAATAACTCCACGTGACATCTTCCATAAAAATACAAAAAAAAAGAAATAAAAAAAACACTTACATGCTCACATTTTTATGCGAAATTTTTCCAATATTTTGACAACATTTTACTTGATTTGTCTTTAGTGTCATTATGTGTATCTTCAGTAATTGTTTTGTAATAGAAATAACAATTTTTTATCTGTTTTTTTTTCAACGTTAAGTGAAGATTGCTATTTTTAGTTCTTGATAACTTGAAAACGTTAAAAAAGTATCACATACAATAGTCGGTATTATTTGAAAACACTTATATTGATAACTGATAGCATATTTCGTGCAGTTTAATAGTATAAATAGTGTCTCAACCACTACTGTATCTGTCGTTTCCCAGCTGGTCTGATGAGCCCTGGTATTGGACGAAAGGCCTCGTTGGCACTGGATATTACAGATATAATGTGGCTGTGATATTGTTATACATTCTTCTTTACGTCCACTCTTAGGTTATTCGAATTAAAACCGTCATAATTCAAATAAGGGGATAATTATTACTCCATCTAATAAACACCATGTGTGAAATTTCATGTGATGAACATTTTTAGCTGATGATGATGTTTAATCGGGGATTTTTATAATCACATTTTGTTTTACTCAACTTAGTACAAAATATAATCTTCGAGGTTGTGCTGGTTTATATGTTATAACGTTTTTTTTAATAATTCTCTGGAAATGAATTAATAAGATTTGAAAAACAACTCTGTGGTTTGTATCTCAATGAATGAAACTTATCCGTTCGAAGTGTAATATCACTAGCACTCACTAGATGGCAATACCCTAGAGACATTATGTTCTCATCAATTCTAAAAAGAATGTGAAGAAGTTTGTACAAATATGTCGCCCTCAGGCGGCTCAGCGGTACGTCTCAGGGCTTACAACGCTAAAAATTGGGTTCCGGTATCCGCGGTTGGCAGTCTATAGATAGCCCATTGTGTATCTTTGGGCTTAAAAACAAACAAGTAAACGAGTATGTTTTATCTTCTTTGTTTATATTGTCTTCTTCTTATAGAGGCCCGGCATGGCCAGGTGGATAAGGCGCTCGACTCACAATCAGAGGGTCGCGGGTTCGAATCCGCATCCCACCAAACATGCTCGCCCTTTCAGTTGTGGTGGCGTTATAATGTGACGGTCAATCCCACTATTCGTTGGTAAAAGAGTAGCCCAAGAGTTGGCGGTGGGTGGTGATGACTAGCTGCCTTCCCTCTAGTCTTACACTACTAAATTAGGGACGGCTAGCGCAGATAGCCCTCGTGTAGCTTTGCGCGAAATTCCAAAACAAACAAACTATTCTTCTTATAGACAACACCTTGATTAGACCTAGTCCTGAAACACAAGTATAAATACAACACTACTATCGCGACTATCTTCTGGACGTGCAGACAAATGCTACAAGATTACTTAGCTTCTTTCTCATGTAGACATGCCACAACATTATTAAGTTTCTTTCTCATGTTTAATTAGATATTACATCACTATTAAGCTTTGCTTCTCATGTGCAGACACTACGACATGCTGTTTTCGCGTGTACAGTTTTTACACGACTACCCAGCTTTATCATGCAGTTGCTACACCAGCAACTACGTTTTTTTATTGTGTTTTTTTTTTTTTATCAAATACAGATGCTAAAATTTTGTTTGAATGAAGTTAAGCACAAAGGTACACAATGGATTATCTGTGTCCTGCCCACCACGAGTATTAAAACCCGGCTTCTAGCATTGTAAGTCCGCAGACAGACCGCTGTGCCACTGGGGGGCGATGCTAATAGTAATTTAGTTCAGAGTAACCAAACTAAAACTATTATTAGACGGTCTATGAAAATAGTTCAAGTGTATAGACAACACATTTTATTAAAAACATGCACATACAGATATGCCTTTTAATTGTGATCTAAATTATTATTCAAGGCAGCTCATAGAATTAAACGGTATGATCGTAAATCATAAATTCTTTAATTTCGAAACGGATAAATAATAAATCTCAATTTGTGAAATTAGCTTGTTTCGTAATTGAAAATCTTAAGACTTGAATGTTCTATGGCCTTTGACATAACTTTTTGTAATACTTAATAATAAGGCAGTCCCCCCCCCCAAGAGTTTGCTGATGTATTTTAGTAAACTTGACAATTATTTAAATATGGATGGTGGGACTGCGATACGTCTACGGACGCTAAAATCCGGGATACGGTTCCCGCGGTGGGCACGGCAGATAGCCCAGTGTGGCTTTACTCTAAAATAACTAAACAATCAGATACATCACTGAAGATGATGTAAAGATGAACTTTCCTCATAAGGTAAAAGACATCTAGATGTCAGGGGATTGGATTTCCTTAGATTTATCTAAAAATTAACCCTTTAATAGGAAGTGGGAAGATTGAGAAATTAAAAATGGATAAAATCCAAGTAACTAAAGAGTATTTCCCCAAGATTTTAAGAGAGCTCAAAGATGAGAATTGCAAACCTCTGTATTTCATATCTGGTAGGTTAATAGACAGTGGAAAGGTGCCTGAGGATTGGACAGTTCCTAATGTTACCTCAATTTTTTAAAGGCGATGGGGTCGAGTTCCTCTGGAAAATCTAAAGAGTCTAATAATAAAAGATCCACAAAATAGTTTTGTGAAATATAAAATCATAACAGAAAGTCAAAACGAGTTCATCAAAGAGAAATATTTCCTTTCTATTTAGT